ATTCTTTGTTTAATTAGATCTTATTTTAAACACGATGCTCCTTTGTTCTTGCAAGCTGATATTCTCTCTACTTGCATTTGTTCTTGACCTACACCAGGCTCTATTCCCTTGGGGCACTCTTAACCTTGCACACTGCGCTAATTATCTCTGGAAAGAGGCCCATTCACACAATCATCAATTTCATCGGGTGTTGAAATTGAGCTGGGCATCGCCTGACTGTGCCCCATTTCCGATGAAAGATGGGGATCCACAAAACTGGCGATCCAGGGAGTTCACCTACAGTACAATACGGCTTCTCGTCCCTCGTCTGGTCGCATACGTCTGTCTTCATTACACCACATGACCTGGAGTTAATCTTGTTGCTGCTGTGTTGTTTCCCTTTCGTCTTTGTCCAATACCCATTCCTCAGTGTGTCTATTCTCTAGCTCTTAATCTACAAAAGGAAAGTCATATCCAATAACTAGAGGCATTTGGATCTTAGCTTGGTATCCTCACCACTGCAGCAGTGTTGAGTGTAGTGATGATAAGAAATTGCGAAATTTAAGAGATGAAAGTCTTGTGTACCATTTGCAGCCCTCTGTGATAATCTGATCATGATGTTGGCCATATAGTCACTTAACACTTGGCATTCGACAGACGCATGATCAAGCTCGATGTGTTTTTATAGAGGATTTTTTTTTTCTCAGTTTATAGGTTACTTTGAAAGCAGTGTGCTGAGAAATGCTCATCACCATATGGCTGCCAGTCACCACTTTTTGATACACAGTTTCTTTTTTGCTGGGATTTTTTTTTTTTTTATCCAGCAGCAGTCTGTTGAGGAATGTGGCATAAAAATGCTTACCAAAAAGAATGCACTGGTTGACAGACAATGTTTTGAGAATTTCCTCGCTTCGGTTTTTAGTGTCTGCTGGCTGCCTGATGGTTTTCATGATGCGTGGATCATTACAGATACACATATGTGGTTGTCATTTGAACGGGTTCAATTAAGTAACACTATTTGGTCGCGAAAGGCGGTGCCAGAATTTCCCCAATAATTCTGTGAGCAGGTACATGGTCGGTTAGCAGTGAAGTATGTCTTTCATTTTTATTTTATTTTCTAATCAAGTTTTTATTTTGTTTTTTAAAGTTTTTAAAAAGTTTTTCCAGAGACACTTGCATCTCAAACTAATTCCTCATGCACTTTATAACTCATAGTCAGTTAGGACAACTGAAAACGAAAGAAAAGACCACTTGTCCTCAGAGTTACGTGTGTTCAGTGTCCCAGTGTGTGTGTGATAGAAACCAGTCACTGTGCCTTTGAATAGAATTGTCGCTGATTACTGGCATTTATTATAATTACCCCCTACTCATGTCACCAATGGAAGCTTTTAAAAGGAGTATAATGGTGTTTTATTGAATCAGCATGTCCCTGTCCTTCCTCTCGACCGCCTCACACAAATTTCCTCTGAGCATAAATAGAATAAAAAGGAAATCTTTAACCATGAGATCCTCATCTGTCTGCAGCCCTGTACATGTTTTAGTGAGCCATTTTGGTTTAAGTGACTTTGAAAAAACATGAAGGTAGTTATTGCTTTTGACAATAGATCAGTGTAATGTCTTTATTTCAATGATTTTATCTTAATCGTATGGGATTTTATTTTACACCCTACAAGCCAATTGCGTGAATTTGAGTGAGTATGGAGCAGTCTCAAGTAGCTGATCTGTAACTTACTGGATAGGTTTTGTTTGCTTATGTGGTCTGAGCCTTGCTGATCTGACACACAATTCAGTCCTTAAACAAGCATTTTTATCTTGGTAAAAGCACAGGTTTTTCCTTGCCCTGGCTCAAGTTTACCCTTTTACTCCAATGCTATTCTCCAAATAATCAGACGATTATTTGGAGAAGAAAATTACGAAGAAAACAGAAAAGGGTCTCTACTGCCCTAATATAACAGTAGCGCTAAGAATATATCACTCTCTAATCCATGAGCCCTTGTCAGCCGTCAAAATTCTCTAAAATGATGTTATAGTTTCCTATAAAACTGTTATCAATCCTTTTATTTTTATTTTCCTCCCCATCATTTTTGAATTATGTCTGTGAGCTTTCCCTTTCCTTTTACAAACAAAACACATTCCCTGTAGACTGGCGTGTTAGATCTGGCAACTCAAGAACCTCAACACTGGCTCCTTGAGGAAAGGTGTGCTTTAAATACCTATTTGAGAGAGAAGAGAATAGACGATAGTCCTCTTACACATTTATCCTACTGCACTTAGCAAGTCTGAAAGCATCCATAAATAATGGTGCTCCTGTTTCCTGTAGGTTATCAGTGCTGGAAAATTAGCTTTTAAAATGCGGTTTGAAATCCATTTGGGTGATTGATGGGTGACGGGACTAATAAATTTTGCCAGTTTCTAGGAGGCCAGCTCACAGCCATTCTTTATGGTTGTCATGAAGCCAGACACATTTGATGTAGAAAATAAGGAGGTCTCAAGCCGTCTCAGCTTAATAAAGAATGCTATTGGATAGACAATTTGTTGTTGTTACACAGATAATACAGGCAACTAGCTTTTTATTAATGATTCTGAAAAAGGAATTGTGTTTTATCTGCAGTCTTGGAAATGTAGGGATTAGACTATTGTTAGCTTTTGTAGTATATTAAATGGCACAAATGTGTGTATGTGCTTGCCAAGTACAATTTTACTATATGATAGGGATTTTGACCAAACGTTAAAGTTTCCGCTTATTCCTTATTTCCCTCCATGTTTTTAAGACATGGCTGTGTGGCTTGGTGGCCCAGTGCCACCTCAGAAATCCCCTGTGTGAGAGCTCAGTAGCTTCCAGCTGTAGATCTCCATCAGGAGTACAGTCCTCCAGAGCACTTTTTGGACCACCCTCAGAGAGGAGGCTCCTGCAGCATAGCACTTTGGCACAGTCCAAATCCAGTCTAGCACTGACCACATAGTCTAAAATTTCACAGGTCCTACTCAAACAGCAGAATACCACATTCAAACTGAAACCATCTGCACAGGACAGAAGAAGGGGAAGAGGCATCAAACTGTTGGCATCTAGCTCACTAATGAGTCATTATAACTTGAGGGTTTGGCTTGTTGTGCTTTTGATTGCTGTAAAAGACAAATTAAGATATTCTGGCTGAAACTAAAGTTGTACTCAAATGAGCATCCTTCAACAGACCAAAAAAATGCATCAAATGCAGTTAATACTGTTATAGGGGAATCTTCCATGTGGTGGATTTATCCCCCACTGGCATCTGCTGTCTATTTGCACTAAGAATTAGGGGACATAATCTTCAGCGGTAATCGCCCAGTTGCCTACAGTGGATTTACATTTTTCACACTGTGTAATCTTGCATTTACAATATCATTTACGTGGGTTTCTCCTTTCAACCCACTGACATCTCTCTTTTCCTCAGTGAAGCTGTGAGAGGAGATTGACAGCGGACAAGCTCAAGGCGTTCAGTCTTGCTTTGCATACAGCGGCTCATGATACTTTGTGCATACAATGAGCGCACACTTGCACGCACACATACACACATATTCAGTTTTGATTGATACTTAACTGAAACTGAGCCCTTGTTGCTGTCAGAGCCCAGCTAAGTCTCCTGAGCCTCTTGATTTCTGACATTTGTAGATATTATATTCATGGAGCATGCAGGCTGTATTTTGTGATGTGATCCCCTGTAACACTTTAATCTGTTTAGACTGCTTCAATACTGTGGCAGGGAAGGGGGCAGAAACCATACAATGCACTAGACTGCTGCCTGCCAAGGTCTTACTGTATCCTTCACGCACTGAAAAATCTCTTTTTGGATTTGGACATACAGTACCAGATCCAAGGTTTTATTTGGAGCTTTGTGTGGTTGTTTCTAGTATTTTACTTTTTAATAATATGGAGTCAACCTTTTAGATAAGAGGATAAAGAGTTTGGTTCTACGACAGCATGTACTTCATGTTTGTGTAATAAATGGCAAAAAAACTGTGTATATGAGTTAAACTGTATGGGTATTGGAGTGTTCCCACTCATACTGTATCTGTTGAAGTTCAAGAGTGATGCCATATTTCTTCACATTTTACTTAAAATTAAATGAAAATGAACCTCATGCCAGGTTGATGTAATCACCTCTTACCTTACTGTCAACTGCACACCAATTATTTGAATCATCACTATTGTTTATGTGTTTCTCTTCCCTCTTAAGGGTAAATTAAAGCAAGATTTTTTTTGCTGCATTTCTCTCTAAAGGAAATATGAAGGCTTTGAAATAGCTCCAGCTAGTGCACTGTTGGAACAAGCAGCACTTAGTAACCTAATGCTAGTCCTGGTGCTTAATGGTTTGCATTAGCTGCAAGCAATAAAATTATCCCAGGTCCTCACTAATGTTGGAATAATCATTTACAAAGATGGTTACCACATGCTGGAACTGTTTTCTTCTTTTTCTCTTTTTTTTACGACCCTAATTCGCTGTTATTAATAATGAATAAAAATGCAATTTTCTGTCGGGTTGCTCCAGGGCTCTGGGAATCATTTCAATGAATATTTCAGCACATTATTTTAATCATGGCTCCACATATGCACGGAGGGGGCTTGTTTTATAGGCTCATGCCTCAACCGCCCCAAGACCCCGATCATTAAACCCCACGCTGTCTGCGTTGAGGTTCCTACCTTTGATTTACAAGACTTGTTAAAAAACATTGTAAAAAAGGAGGCAAGCTGTGCCATTTATACTTGTAATTTGATGCTGTATTTGTTAATGGGAGTGCCTGTGATTTATGTGTGCAGCGGCTGCTGCTGCTCCCTGCTGTTCTGATGCTATAGGCTTTAACAGAGCTAACAGTACTGGGACTCTGCAGAGCATGCCACTAGTCAGCCTATAAATCTGCTATCTGTGGCCTGATTTTTCTCCTCAAGATGTTTTCCCCTGATAAGGAAGTGGCTGCTATAATCAGACCATCACTGAGGGGTGTGTGCTCCATCTAACCTACCTGTCTTCTTGTCTCTCTCACAGTCAGCTGCATGACTTCTGGCGCCTGGACTACTGGGAAGATGACCTGCGCCGGAGGCGGAGATTTGTCAGAAACCCATTTGGCTCCACCCACTTAGATGTCACATGCAAGTCACTGCAGGAGTATGGTGTGTTTATCATTTCTTTGTGGAATCCGAGTATTTTTTTTTTAACCTATTAGAATTAGGGTCAAGTACATTATTACTCCATATTAAATGTAGAATATGAATGTTTCCATTAAGGCATTATAGACAAGGTATTAAAAGTTAAGTGTCATTTTTATAGGCAACGTATTTATGAGTCCTGTGAATTGAACATGACACATCCATTTTATTGTACTTTTTTATTTCCATTACAACACATACTCAGGAACAAATTGGATCTCTCCCTTTATTGTTCCTTCTCTTTGCCTGAAACTTTTCTTATTGACCCAGGCAGTCTTATAGTGTTGCCCACCACCTTGTGTCAATTTTGCCTTATGTCATGCAACACCAACTTTTAAAGGAAAGCAGCTCAGTACTATTAAACACCCTTGGCCCTTCTCCCCTGCCTCTAATTGAATAGCTGAGCAAATGTATTAATGGCACAAGGGTGAATGTATTGATTCTGAAATTAATGGAGTAAGCGCGTTCTTCACTTGATAGAAAATAGAAAACAGGCAATGCAGTATGGTCAGGGTAGCCTTTTAAAATGACTGTAGACTTACAGCAACACCTGCACAATGATCACAATGTTCACTGACCTCTGGCTAGCTCAGGGTTGAGCTACTCAAATCGACCGTTGGCTAGGTTCAGGATGTCATCTGGCTGATTTCAGCTCTAGCTGTGCCATGGCTGCTGTATGAAGATCATGGCAGCTCTGTAGATAAACACATGCCAGCTGCTGCCTCGGCTGCAGGTGGTCTATATATGAAACACACATGCAATAATTGCACCGTCTGCTTTAGAGTTTGTGGTGGTTCCATTATTTTTAGCCATAAGCTAATTTTGTGGGCTTTTGGTGAGGTGTTGATAGGTGGTGAGGACTCAAGGAAACAAATGTTACAAATTTAGCCCTTTTAACTTAAGGCATAAGGCTTTTAGAACTTCAGTATCATCTGCAAAGAAATTTCATTGCCTTGCATCAACATTGCCTACCTGTAAATACCAAAAAACTGCACATTGCCTTGGCCATATTGTGATTTCGATAATATTTTTGATTAATTGTGCAGGAGCAAGGTACCTTCTAAGTTTAAAGTATTTCAAGATTTTCATTGAAACTATACTTAAAGGTGGTGCAACAAAAGAAAAATAATTTCTTTTTTTTTGCTGATAATACATAAATCAAAAACACATACAATTTCTTTCAATTGTATTAAAGCGGGGGAGAATATTGTACTGAAGGTAGATAAAATAAACTATTTCATCCATTCTATTGCTCCATCTGCTAACTCTGTCAGTTAGCATCGCCCATTGGCATCTTTACCCACTGTGCAGTTGCTCAAATTGGTGTGTGTTTCCTCTGCTTTAGTGACTTATGAGACACATGTCCTCAAGAAAATGCTGCAGGTCCATATCATGTTATTTAGTACATCTGATAACTAGAATATACTTTTGAGCTATATGATTTGTTTCTGTTGTTGAACATTAATGCTTCAGTGTCATTGACTGAAGAGTTGTTGAAGTCCTGCTGGCATGTGGTGGTTTTAATGAGTGGAATAATGTATAAACTTGTCAAGTGAAAGAGATCGCCTGCGGTTGGATGGCCTTCTTGCTCTCCTTGAGAGGTGAGCTGCACTTTCAGGCTTTTTGTAGCAGGCTTTGATGTGGTTGCACGGCGGAGGCCAGGTTTTGTTATGAGTTCAAATGAGAAAGATCTTTTGTTCTTCTGTAGAGCTTCAATAGATTTCTTTGGCTGTGACAGTTGGCAGTTTGTTATAAATGTACAATGACAGTTTGTGTTTTTTTTTGTTTTTTTTATGAATATTCACTTTTAATTAACATATTATTAAATATAGGACCTGTATTTAGCAGATAGCCGTGGTGCAGAGGCTCAGAGGTTGGATATCTATTAGTCATAACATCCAGACTTTGTTTCCTAGATTTGAAAGGCACTCTATAGAACTTTTTAGTGGGTTGCTGGCTGCATAGGCACCAGAGTAGAAAAACAAAGAGGCTTGTTTGAGTTGGCCCTCAAGAGTCATTATTAAAGCTTTAAAATCTGGGACTATTAGAGAACCAGTAGGTTGTCCAAATTGAATGCACAGTTTCTGGTCTGACAACAAGATATGAGGATATACGCTCAGCCACCATTTTGAGTTTGAAGAGGGCAGACTTACACTGTTGTGCTCACAGTTAACGTCAGTCTTACGAGTTCACTTGGGGGAAATGAAAGTGAGCAGGAAAGTTTTGTTTTCAAGAACATTTCAGTGAGTGAGTGGCCTGTGTCGTTTTTGACAGCCTTTAAGAGTCTCACAGTCTTATGTGTCTTCTCTGAGATAGTAAAAATGTTTTTTTTGCCATTTTAGGAGTTGGATTAATTTATTCATTTGTTATGTGGATTTCCGAGAGAGATTACTTGACTGATCTTAAGTATTTTGAAGAGCTTTTTTTTAAAGCTGATATTGATATCTTCAGACTAAAGTTAAAATTGTACCTTTTTTGTGAAACACATATTTTCATTATTTTATTTTATTTCCATTGACATATGCCAGGTTGAAACAGAATTTAGATCCTCAAGAAAGAAATACTTCCATTCTTTGAGAGCACAAAACTTTTAAAAAAAATCAAGTTGATATATTGGCAAAACCAGTGCATCAGTGTAACCTTTATAATCACTTTTGTGCAATGTGTGTGCCTTTGTGTGCGATAGTGTGTACATTCATGAACATGTGTGATGGGAGGTTAAACTCTGCCTTAAACTCTGCCTCGTTGTCTATTAGCACCATTGACAGCTTAGCCAGCACATTCTGTCTCTGCCCTCTGCCTGTAATAACCTGCCCTGTTACAGCCAGCCACGGCCCAGTATCAGACTATATTGTTAGGTGATTGGAATTGGGCAAGCATGAAATGGAAGTCACGTTAATATTGATCCAAGTGTTTAACGGGGTGTTTTACCTCCGGGTGTCCTTGCTGTCTCATTTCAGGTGAGCAGCTTCTCTCCGAGCTGATTGCCCCGGGCAAAGATCTTTAAAGCTCTTAACTGCAGCAGAGGCAGAAGCCTCGTGATGTGATATTAACCTTCTCCAGTTTTATGATCAACAATATTAAACTGTGACAAATGACATCAGGGCATTTACTAACATGCAAATCCGGACATTTGAATGCAGCCTTTAGTAAATACATGATACGTTATGTGCAGTACCTAATGTTCAGGTCCAGATGTGGCGATAATTAAACTCTGCTGTTAATGTTTTGATCGAGAGAAGATGAGGTTGTTTGTAACCTCTGGCAGCACAGTAGACACGCACTGCACATCCCAGGATATTGAATAAAGATCACCCCAAGAGGAAGCGTCTGCACCGCATAAACTCCCCTACATCAAAGTTATAATGTTTACTTTTACAGTCTCAAAACACATTCTCTGCAAAACGGATGGCTTGCATCACAGGAAGTATGGAGCTGTCATTTGTTCCCCCTCATTTCATCCTTCAGTGCAGGGTAAATAAAAGTAAAGAGACAGAGGGCAGAATTGCATCGCCCTAACGGTAATGCAATCTCATAGACTGGACTTTTTCTCTCCATGTGGAATGTGGAGCCCGTGGAGAGGGTGCGTAGGAGGGCAGGATCTGAAACAGATAGAGTCTGGGAAACGGAAGAGATATATTTAAAACATTCTATAGAGCTCACGTTATATGGATATTGGTACGTTAAAGGATAGAAGCTCATACTAACGCGTGTTATCTACAGAGATGTGACAGAATGAGACATAAAACAGAATAATATCTGCAAAAGCTCCAGAGTTTAAGCTCTCTTTCCAAGTCTTTGTTTAGAAAGAGGATGAGATAGCTGTTTGTCTTGTGTGTCCAAATTTTGGCTGTCATAGCAATTGACAAACATTCAGTGATTTCTACAAGAGCCCGGCCTTTGCCCTTTTCCAGCATTATCCAGATCTTGCTTTGCTGACCAAACCACTACATAAAAACATCTCAAAATGAGCAACCTTAAGTATTTTGTGCTTTATTTATAGTCGTGTATATTGAATTACACAAAGTATTTGTGAAATCAGCTTTTTCTTCTCCTGAAGAGAAGTACCCTACACATTAGTTGAACTTTAAGTGAAACATGATGTCGTGGATTTCTTTTTGAGGAGTGGCAGTGAAGTGTTTGAGGCAGGGTGTATAATACATAGGAGACTTAGAAAAATCCATGCTCGCCGGCTCTATTGAGGCTATAAAAATGAAAGGCCAGTGCCTCACCGGTTCTTAGCATTACAGTATATCAAACATGGACCCTTGGCAACAGTATTAACAGTAGTTGATTCAACATTTTTTTTAAAGGCCTTTCAACTCTTATCTATTCCATACTGAATAGTAAAACTACTGAACTCTCAAATATTTCTAAAGTGGGAACCTGTATCTAAGATTATTATTATTGGAATTGGGCTTTAGCTTGTTCACAAAAGAACACATTTACTCAATTTCATCACTCTGTGACACTGAGATAAATTATTCTTATCTCTTTGTCTGAAACACAAAATATTACTGCTCATATGTTTTTTTTTACTTAACTCAATTTTTCATTTATGATGGTAAAAACACAATGATATTTAACTTTTTGGAAAGCTGTCACCATTAGCATTAAAAATTCATCCCTCTGCTTCTTCTATCAAAACACAAATCCTTTTTTTTCCTGAACTGATATTACGTTGGTTTACACTTTAGAATGAGCCCTCATTGTGTTATATCCTGGCATTAAATCTTGTCTCAACAGGAATCACATCACATTAAAGAAGTAAAGAGACTGTGTCATGTTGTCTATAAAAAGGATCATGTCCCCTTTTTCATGAATTTCAACTTTATAAATTATAAATATATTCTCAAAATAACAAATAGAATTTTAGTTAAATGTCAGTAACTTAAGGTCTCTCTGACTCCTGGATGGAACTTAAAATCTGATTTATTTTGTCCTCCTATCAAAACCCATCAAATGATCCCATGTGGTTTTTCATGAAGATTACATTGTATAAGAAGTATAAAACTTTGAGTTTTTTTTTATTTTTTATATTGTGCTAAAATAGACAATCGGTAGATATCCTAAAAAGTACTCCGGACCATGGATCCTTGTTAAACCCCAGTGATGAGGGCTCAGGGGCATCCTCCATTGGTCACAGCTGGCAGGTCTTCATCAGCCTCCAATGGGGTCACAAAAGCTCTGCAATGCACTTTACTGAGTGTAATTAGTGCACTCTGAAGCAGTTTCAACTCAGTGATTGAACAAGAGGACCCGTGAGACTGGTGATCGGTGGCTTCTCCTGGCACTGTTTCTGAAGGGCTTTAGAGTAGACATGAAATGAAACTGCTGTTTTCTTTTTTTAGAGACGAGAAGTCAATGGCAGTGGCTTTTGATGGACTGCTCACTTTGTAAGGTTAATTATATAGAGGCTAGTTAGTGTAGCATCATTATACAGTGATGTGGCATAAGCAATATTTTTTATTTCTTTATTACGTGAATATTGTCTAGAAATGCACATTTAATTGGATTTGAGAGAAAGATTAGACTCAAATTACAGCTTCCTAATCTAATGCATACATCTGCAACTGTATTGCCTGGTAATTTTGTACTTTGTTTTTTTTGTGTATGATTACAATAGGCCAACATAAGATGATTCTGAAGATCAGTTCAGTATCTAATTGATCATGTGATTTGTGGAGGATAACTACAGTTGCATTCAAGGATGATAAAATAAAAATGTAGAAGAATTTCAGGTTCTCGCACCATAAAATCAACTATACAAAGAACTTTTAAATCCTTCAGTAGGTGGTAATTGGATATGCATGTATTGTATTATCTATCTTGCCTGCCAGCCTGCACTTGTCTCCTGTTCTTTTTTCATTTTAGTTCATTTATATGAGTTATATTTGATATCCAAAGGGTCATTCTCTTTATTTGGCCATTTAGTGGTCAAGGGTGAACACATGAAAATGTTTCTAATGTGTCTTCTTCAACACCACTGCACAGCAGATAATTTAATGGTGACAAATGGCGACCCTTTTCACAGCTGCACTTTTAATATAAGAATGTCTCAGCGTCAACGGGCTATCACTCATGAGAAGATCACTTTTCATGTCAGCACATTTTCTCCTTCATGTCATACCTCTTCATTTCTCGTTATTTATAACCATATTACTTTTTCTGTTAGGAAAAATTGCATCGTGGGTAAAGCTGATCCTCTACCCTGCATTGTTGCCTCCCCCACAGCAGTTGATGTCGGTCATTTGCGTGTAGAAATCAGCATGGTTTATTTGGTTTACTCAACCCTGTACAGACTTGCCAATCAGAACATCAGCCTGTCAGTGGAGCTTTCCCTCATTTACTTGGAGCATAATGATGGTTTACAGAATTACAGTTTTAAGTTTCACTCATTCTGCTTTGATCCCTGACCACTGGCTGGCTCTTGGCTTTAACATTACACAGAATTCATTTCCGAAACGCACAGACTGCTTCCCTCCCTCTGATGAAAGCACTCCAGATATGAGACAGAGCAGGAAGCAGACTTTTTTCTCAGTAGCAGTGTTGACAACAGTCAAATGTGACCTCTTCAAGACAAGGTACATGTTCCTCAGGGGAGGGAGAAGCGAATTAAGAACTGTGCTGAAAGGAAACATGTCAGACGAGTGTCAGCCACCTCCCATTTCTTGATATGTGTTCTTCCTTTCACACACGCAAGTTTTTCCTCTGGTTATTTCCTACATTGGACTTCAGAAAGACAAATTCACATAAACGCTCTGAGGAGCCGTGTGGCAGGCACATGTTGGAGATGGGCTGATTTAAGTTGATAAATGTGTTTTGAGACCCCTTTGTTTTGCAGGATGTATGAACACATCTTATTCAATGGGTGTGCTCCACTATAGCCATATGATGAAATCCTGGTGTAAGCATCCTCCTAATTGTACTGTCTGTTCAGTCTCACTCTTGTCAAGTCTCCAAAAGCGGCAAATTATATCTCTAATCAACTACGAGCTTGAGATGTATTCCCCGACTCAGCTGTTGGTCTTTCAAGATACAGATAATGTTTCATTGTTGACCTTGTCTAAAAATAAAAGCTGAAACACCTCTGATGTTCAACCGTGCGAAATGTATTCAGTCAGTGAACGTGTACCCTGACATTCTTTCATATGCTCTGGCAAGTACATTAGTGAGCTTCTCATATCAAGTTCATCCTGCATATATTGTGTATTTCATTCAGAGCTCCTCTGTGGCTTTTTTTATTATATATATTTTACTAGATGTTACGCATCACTGTCTTTTTGTGTGGGTATGTGGGTACTTTTGTTTTCTACTTTTTTTTTTCTTGGACTTTATTATTATATGATTTTCTATATGTTGGCTATATGCATTACTAAAATGTATTATACTTACTACTAATACTAAATTAAATTGCCTTGCCTTGCCTTGCCTTACTTTAGTACAGTATTGCTGAACAGAAATGTATCAATTTAAACTGCAATAGTTAATGGCAGAATAGTAAAGGTGATTGGACTTTGCCAAGGAATAGACCATAGCCAAGTATTTCTGTGCATTTCTCATTTACCAATCTGAGTTTTCAGAGGTCGGAGTGCAACATTTAGTAGTGTCTCTTCCCCATGTTTATTTTGACAGGCACAGAGGAGGACGAGGTTGTCAAGTCTACGAAGGTCTTCCGCAGCCAAACTGTGGTCAGCCAGAACCCCGAGACAGAGTTGGTGCTGGAAGGAGACGACGATGCCGTCAGCCTGCTGCAGGAGAAGGAGATGGACAACCTGGGTGGTAAGTCAGCACACCAGCACCTCCATTAACCCCAAGTCAGCATCACCTCTGCTGGAGTATCAGCACTTGTCTTTTATCTGTCTTCTTCCTAATAGCTGGCACAGTTACAGGGTACATGATTAATATCTAGTGCATCAAACTAACTGTTTGGATCAGTGTAATGGCTTTAATGCTCATTATATTACAATGGCAACGGGAAGGGGGATATTTTGAGATCTAAAATCTATGTATCTAATGATTGTGAGGTTTGAATTTACAGATTGCTTCCTGCAGTTCACCTGCACTGACGTCCCGAAGTCAGAAACTTTGTCTCTGTGTTCTAGTCTGCACAGCTTTGCTTAAGTTTGACAGCTACATATTTTTTTCGTCTGATAAGTGTCCTTCTCTGTTTTGTTTTGGGTCTCGTCAGCACGGTTCCTTCCTCGAGTGTTTATCTCCAGAGGCAAGTCTTAAAAAGTTAAACTAACACCGGAAAGATGATCAATCCAGATATGTCAGAACTCATATTTATGATTTGTCAAGCAATCAGTGATTACAGTTGATATGCACCACTGCTTGCTAATGCTTCACTTTACAGTGGCCTTATTTCGCCTGTCACCTGACCTAATAATGTACTGTAAAAGTTTGGGTGACCCCCTCAAAATCTATATGTGTAAACTGAGACTGAACATTGTGTTTGGTTCATTGAGTTTTTAAACCCATATACTAACAGAGCATTATTATGTAATGGAGACTCTGCTGCCTTAGGGCCAGTATATTGGTCATTACATTTTAATAAGGCCATAGTAAAGTGTCATGTATTGTAATCAAAGTAATCCGAGCTAAGACACTTGATAACACAACTTTTCTTACACAATCTTGATTATACTGATTACACATTATTAAAAACAAACTGTTCAGATTCTGCATTTTGTTACTCTGAATCAAAACCCTGCAGACTATTGACACACACATAATCAAACACATGTAACATAATCAGTCAGCACATATTTTTATAGTTAGAAATTGTTTTAGTCAATCAAAGTCTTCAAACATTTATTTTTCCAGTAAATACGGCCCATTCCAGGGGAAATGGGAAATTACAGCAATTATCTTTCTTCTTTTTAAATGAACAAAATATGTTTTAACTGAACCTAGAAGAATGTTGCCAAGAAAATTGCCTATAATGTGTTTCTGTGTGGATGTTAGCACTGGGATGTTAAGGTAGAGCAACTTAATTATCCTGCAGTCAAACTAATCCTGATTCTCTCTTCAGTGAATAGTCATTAAGAGATTAATTGGCTTTTAACAGCTTATGAAAAAAAATACAATATTAAATCTTTATTAATCTTTGATTTATTGTACCTGTATGATCAGTATCTTAACTCTGCTTTAATACTTTGACACAATTCAGTCAATTGTGTAACTTACTGCCAAGGCAGTGGTTGCCCAAAGAGAGAAGTAATTTAAGCGGCATCACACTGTGTGTGAGAGCCAAACTATTAAGCCAACCCTTAGCTGCTTTTCAAGTAACTGCCATGACTTTAAAAGGTAAGTTATCCAGAGTTCACTTGAGTGTAGATCAAGTACGCTACGTACTCGTCAATAAAGTCAAATCTTCGCTTAAGAATTGGTGGTTTAAATAAGCAGACTTTGTAACTGGATTGGTGCCTACATCATACAAGCTTTTTAGTAGAATATAAAGTAATACCACGACATAAATTAATAGCCATGGCAGCCATGATCAAGATCCAAAAACATCTCTTATATTGCAGTAAAAGGGATAATAAAAAAGAAAAAAGAGTCTGGGCCATTGTTACTGACTGCTGTTGTGACTGGTTGTTGTTTTATTTTGATTATTGGCTACTTGAGATGATGTAAATCAACATTTGCTTATACTAGCTGGGTTGTCCTCAAAAATAACAAACCTGAACAGGAACTGTCTGGCTGTTCTTGTTCTGGCAGTGGAATTTCAATAATAATCTAATGCTGTGGATTTTTTTTTTACTATGTTCTAAAGGTTAAGCAACTTCACTTAAAACTGTCACAAGTTTGATTGCATAATCATCTGTAATGTTACCTAAATGTCTTTAACAAACCTGTTGGATCTGGGCTACCACTGAAACACACGGTAGGAGTAACAAATATCAATGCATGTATGTAATGGTAATGGATTTGTTCCAGATAGAAATTGTAAGAAAAAAATGCCCTGAGACTCTAGATTCCCAGACACTTAGATAATTACATTAGGTTCATAGCCCCGTATACATTATCTAGTTATCATGGCTCAGTATATGAGGCTCAGGCTGAACCAGGGCACTGCTGAGTAGTGAAATCCTCTCTAAGATCCCACAGATGAATCTCAGAGGAGGAGGCTAACCCCTCCTCTTTGTCGTAGAGCCAGCAGGCAGCCAAACACTCCATGTCTGTCAGATGAACCCTGCTCTGCCCACTCAAAAAGCAAGGCAAAGGCTGAAATACAATGAGAATGTATTTTCTCCTTAGGGGAACTAATAATCACCTTGTGCAAAACAGAAATACTGACATTGAATATTTGTGATACATTTATGATGTGTGTGCTTGCTTGAAATTATACATTTTAAAAGTGCAATTGACTGAATAATAACATTTTATTTTTATGTTGAATCAAAGTTGAGTTCATGTTTTTACCAATAGGGGAGCTCTCTCACTCACAACATTTGGGTAATGTTTTTACCAGGATGCACTGTCTGTGTTTGGCCTGTATCTAATCTCAGGCATGAACAGCCTTAATGAGAGATCTGGGACTAGATCCTTGTCAACAACAGTGCTCCTCCTGCCAGCCGTTGGGTCACTGCCTGCTGCTGCTGCTGCTGCTGCTGCCAAAGGGGCGGCGCCTGCACTCAAGGGCCCAGGCAGTTGTGGTTACTGAACCTATGATTACTTTTGCTCCCCCACAAACATTGTAAATGCTGTCTTTGCTTGCACTGGCATTAAGTGAGCCTTTTTGTATGCACATATTGTAACCAAAATCGCGTAAAATAGAAACTTTAGATGAGCATGTGAGAGGAAATAAGAGCCTCACAAAGTCTCTCATGTCAAGCAAAGTTCTGTAGATTTGACTGTTCTACTGGCATACCGGAACCATGTTAGCATAGCCCAAAGTGTGGTTTAGCAGCCACAACCATTTTGTTCTGCCTTAATTTAGCCTTTCCGTGTTCATTTTAGTCCCCATTCACAATATTGATCCCATGAGTGGTGACATGTTTATAAAAGAGTAAAACCACAACATTTCAGAATATGTAATCTCAGAAAAAAGTAAGAGGAAGATGGGGTGTTACTCCACTTTTTGCATTACCAAGTTCCCCAACTTTCTTGCTTGTTTTTTTTTTTTTTTTTTTTTAATTCAAAGGTATATAATCCTGTTTAATATAAACAGAATAAGGGTGACATAAAAAGATATACAAACTATACGGGAAGTTTTAGTTATTTATATTAAACATTTAAGTATTTTGCCAATTTTAATTATTTAATTATTGTTTTCTGCAGCTTTATTAAATAGTCCAGTTCTCTAGGCTTTTACATGTCATTGTTGTATGTTGAAAGATAAACGCATGCTTTGAAAACCGTGGAAAAAATGGCCATTGCCTCAGTGACTCAAATGAACAACAAGGCACTGTGCCTCAGATACTCAGCATACAGTAATGGCTGCAGCTGTGCATGTGTGTATATGTGTGTGTATCTATAAGTCAACATACATGTTTGCAAGTGAATGATAGTGCCCAGGTGTGCAAGTAACCTACTTCCACTTGTATTTCTCCCATAATGTAGAATATAAAAGCACTCGGCCTTATCAAGTACTGCAGTCCAGCGGATGGATTGTGGGTAATAATATACCCATCTTCCCAGCAGTTCTCCCAAACTCCCACCACACCGAAATGAGACTTTTCATCACTTCATTAAATTGGCCTGTCATTTGACAAATATTTGCATTTTCATTAAAAGAAAGACCCAACAGCTGGATATTCCGAGCTTTAGCCTATATACACCACTCATCCTGTGTAACTTGCCCTTAATTTCATTATTCTCCTGTAAACATTTTAATGCCATATAGCCTAATTATGGAAGGATCCCTGAGGGGATTACTGCCTAATCCTCTTCCTCCCCATGAGCAATGGATGCCGTGGCTTAATGCTTCAGGCATTGTGTCTTTCCCTCTGTGTGTGTGTGTAGCCCTTTAGGGCCACACTACAATGCATCAGCCCTAAAAGTGTTAATATTTTTGCAAGAGGTGAATGGTCTTGTAATTTAGGGGCTGGGGTGAATATGGAGACAATCTCCTTTTATTGTAGCTGAAACAATTTACACCACAAAGAGGGTCAATTGGCAAAAAAAAAAAAAAA